TTGGTGACAGTGGAGGTCGGGACAGGAGACACTGCAGTGGTCGACTCAGGGGACTTTTGATTAGATGATATTGGGGACATCGATGGTGGTGAAAGATCAACCAGAGGCGTTTTAGTTTGGCCAGACTCTTTGGGTTGTGGCTCTTTAGAGGCTACTTGAGGACAATCAGGGAGGGGAGCAGCCACCTTGGTGTCAAAAGTTGGCTGTTCTTTTGTAACAGACACTTGAGGGGTCTCTTCTTTTGCAGGCTCTGGGGTGGCCTTCTTCTCCAACTTTGGAGCAACCGGCTCATTAACACTCACAGCAGCAGCTGTCTTAGTGCTGGTGTCAGCACTGTAAACCACAGAGATAATGAATCAAACTCAAATCACTTGTTGCACTGGAAATAGAAACATGGTGCAGGATTTACATTTTCTGAGGTTCGGGCGCAGGCTTGGATGCAACAGATGTGACAGGAACAACAGGGGATGGCAGCACAGCGCTGGCAGGTGCAGGAGTCTCAGAAGGCTCATCATCATCAGTAATCTCCACCCTGCAGATTTTTAGTCAACCACATGATGGCACAAGTAGAAATGCATGCAAGTGTAGAGCACATATTTCACATATTTTTTCTTTTTGCCTCTAGGAAAAAGGGCTTACCTTGTAGCCACAAATGCTGGACTGCTATTGCTGAGCGATGTGTCGGGCGTTTCTTGAGACCTTAGAGTTTTGAACACAAAGCCTGTGTGAATGCCTCCGTAAGTGCTCAGCAAGGCACGTCAATAAAAATAATTTCCCACTGCATGGGAAGTTTTAAACATTTGCACTGTTCTTTTATGAAAGCATTACAGAAACATGCTGCATCTCAAGATAAGCATTAGAATAGTGGCATGAGAAAATACGTACTCGTATTTCTTTGCAGCTGAAAGCACGTAAGACCGTTGCCTGGTTGCAGATTTCCTCAGAACATTACTGGCTTTCTCCGTCCTGCAGAATGAATCAGAATAATGTTAATGTAATCTCTTTCCCGGGTGTCTAACTTCAGGATGCAAGGAGAGTCTTACCGCTTCTCCTGCTCCTCGAGGCTAAGCTGGCCCTCCTGTTTCTCTGCAGCAGACCGCACAGTGTGGGGGGCTCTGAGGAACAGAAGCACAAACATGCACCTTGTGAAAAGACTCTCATCCAGCTGCCAGCAGTTAAACTGGGACTCTGAATTTACGTTTGCTCACATTTTCTTGTAGGTCTCTGAAGGCTTTTTGTTGAATTGCAGTGTTTTGCTGCAATAAAACCAGATAATAAGTAATAGAGGAAAGGTCAAACTGCTTGTCAATGCTGTGTGGTTTAGCTGCTCTTACCTAAAGCCGTTAGATGGTGAGGATGGAGGCTTGTCCACTTTAGTGAAAACACCCCTGAAGAAAAAGAAAAAGTCCTGAACAAGCCCTTATTTCTTTATACAGTTTGTGTGTGTGTGTTTTGTTTGTTTATTTTTAAGTGTTCACTGTGATGGTGACTGAGACTCCACTTTGGCTGACTAAAATCTCTGTTTTATAAATATATATGTTTTTATATGCTTTGTGGTAAACGTGTTTTATAACCCAGATGGTGGTGCTCAGAATATCAGAAGCCTTTCTCTTACCTGATAAGGTATCCGGATGTTGGCTGCCTAAACTCAAAACAGAGACTTGTTATCAGCACAGGCATGTTTCAAAGAACTGCAGATAAGCCTGTGACATTAAAAACCTGGGTTTACCTCTCGGTGTCAGACTTGGTTGGTGGCGGAGTAGAATTTGTTGGCGAAGACACTGGACTGGTATCAGCAGGGGCTCCGCTCAGACGGCTGGCTTTAACTTCTGCTATCCTGCAATGGAATTTGGTTTTATCTTATTTTTATTTATTTCCTTTGTGACAGAGTAGATGATAACGGGATGATGGGTATCGTGCTTAAACAGGGGTGTTTACCATGGTTTCTCCTCCTGCGTTTCATCCTTAGAGTCATTGCTGCGTTGCAACCAGCTGGCGTCTCCCCTCAGCCTTGTCCGGACTTTGGTGGTACGCAGCACGGACGCTCTGTCTCCCTCTGAGATACAAACATGTGCATATCACACACCCGCGCACAAGCTCACATTTGAGATATGATACACACTATATGCTGCATCATAATGACAGCTTAATAATTGTCTGCTTGATAGCTTCTAAGATATACAGTCCCCCTTTGGGCCAGAAGACACTATATCATCAACCACTTGTAGTTTGCCTTAAATCAGGGTAATAAGTGAATTTATAGCCAAGAGCCCGGCACAGATGCATAATACTCTCAGCTTTTATTGCAGGAAACACATAATCTCACATTAAAATCAAAATCTGCTCACCTTTTGACATGCTTGTTTCACGGGGTTCTCGCTCTCTTCTTTCTTCTCTTTTCTTTGCAGGCCACTAAATTATATATTCAGAGAGATGATTGGCATCTTGTAAAAATAAGGCGTGTGATGTGAGCAGCGAGTTGCAACTTTGTTCCCATACTATGTCCCCTCCCATTGAGAAACACATGCTGTGTCAAACATTCCTCAGTTTCATCCTTAAAACATGCCGACGATCCTGTCTGTCCGCTTTCCAAAATATGCAGCGACTGACCAAATATGAATGAACGCAGATAGGCATTCTGTGTATCTGACACTCTGTAACAATATAAACTGGCCCACAAAAGATTAACCTGATTACACAAATATTGCTTTCTATTCGCTCATTTCCAAATGAACTGAGCTATTTAGGATCAGAAAACAGAAACGAGTTGCTCAGAGGCAAGCCTACGTCGTCAGGGGAACTTCAGTAGAAAGGGGAAAATACTAATGAAACAATCACAAGTGTACCCTTATCTGAAAGTAGACACAGAGTAGAGCTTATGCAAAACTGTGGAGTATTGTTAAAGTCAGAATGCAAATATCACTTTTAAAAAAAAGTCCTTCCTTAGGCTGTAAATTCATTCCCTTTGGAGTAAGTCGGCACAATATCTCTTGAGGATTTTCCTGAATATTGGTGACAGAACAAACTGAGGGCTCAGAGACCATATTTATCTTCGGTTTAGCACATCAGTCTATAAGAGATGAATGATTAATGAAAGCCAATAGCATTTTAAAGCAAGCCCCGAGCACGATAGGAAGTAATCATGGCAAAGAAACACCCAGAAAATGAGAGGGCAGACACTCATAATGAACACTTTCAACAAACAGTTTATGTAACCCAACCAATCTGATCACTCTGACACTTTTAAAATACACAAAATATCATGGCATGAATAAGTGAACACCAGAGTTCCTACCTGTTGTCACTTTGTATCCAGCACAGGAAGATTTGTTGAGAATCTGTGTCCTAGAGAGCGTGGTTGGTGTGAACAGAGGAAAAGTCTTTCTCTGTCTAACAGGTGTCTCAGCCCGACGTATTAGCCAACAGGTACAGGCGTGAGCACTAACAAGCCCAGCCAGTCAAGGGAGGTAGATATGGGGTGGAGCAGCGTGTGTTTGTCTAACCACTTGTGTGTGTGTGTGTGTGTGTGCGTAAGAGAGGTTGCTAAGAATTAATTTCTGTTTACTACATCTGGGCTTTGTTCGTGGATGACAGCAAGCACATACCTGTCGCACAGGTGGCTGGCAATCAATGCTTAGAACGAGCAAGGCATAGGGGCAACGACAAGGTGCACTGCATGGCAAACATAAACTAAGCGACACACAGCAACATCTCCTTTGGGAAACACTCGTCTCATGCTCACTGGGTAGGACAGCCCAGGAAGCACAAGCATTAAAACAAGAACAAGAACACGGCACAGAGCCGAGATAATGAAGAGAAACAGCGGTCGGCAGAAAAAATAGAACACAAGCTTGGAACATTCTTAATTTTATTCTTAAAGCAAAGGTGTTTTATACTTTCACGTGTGTTTCTGTGAAGGAAAAATCATGAATGCTGGCGTGAACATTGAATTTCTTATATAAGCTCTGGTAAAGGTCATTTATGGATTACCCTGTGCTTTGCAATACGCAGGGTATCCTAGGAAGAAAAACCGATGAAAGCCCATTGTAAACAAACTGTTTGCTCAATCCGAGCGACTATATCCATGTTTGTGTAAGAGAAAGTCAAGGATGTGCCTGCAATTGTCGAGCAATTTTTTTTCCTCCTACAAATGGCAAAAGAACACTTTCTGAGAATTTGGCCACAGTTTCAACTTTCTGAAACCACACTGTGCCTTAGAAAAAGCACAAAAAACCCCATAAACAGTCTGTGTACATATTTACGAGGCCGTTTCAAAATCACAGAAAGGGTGTAGATAGGTTTCACAACACGTCACAGAAAGTAGGTGGAAGAGGAAATTGGCAACTCTGAATGCCAAAGTTTCGCTCTGGCGAGCACACTTGCAAGTGTAAATGCTAACGTGTATTATTCACCTGGATCTCTCTCCCTTGTTCCCTTGTAGAAGAAACCAGTCAGACGGCCTTGCCCAGTGGCTCTGACTCTAGCAAGTGAATCATTAGGGTGCTGCTGCTCAGAATTAAAATGAGAATGCAAAGTATCTGAACGTAACCCCCACCTTATTCTCACCACACCAAGACAAGGAATGACAGAAATGCTGAACAGGGAAAAGACAAACTTAAGTAATGTAACCAATGCATTTAACGCTGTGAAAACAAAGCACGTCAGTGTCGACGACTTCATTGGTATCTCGACTTTTTCATTTCCATGTAGGAGATGGATGTGTAAATATTAGGATTATAGCTGTGTTTTAGTATTACCCAGCCCATCATTGTTTTTAATGACGGTGCTTGAATAACACAGAGTCTCCCTGACTCATCAAAGCACACGCCATGCTTATGACAACCAGCATCTAACAGCTGAGTGACTGGAACCTGTGGATGTTAATCTAGTTCACATGATGTCATATCAGAATTTTATTAGACTGATGTGCATGCATTTACCTGTGCACTGAAACCTCTACTGGTGGCTGCGTTTATTTCTCCTCTTACATCAGCTCCGATGTAAGAAACGGTGCACTCAAATTCTGCTAATTTTCTCCTCAGGATGTCGTCCCCGTGGACAACAATACAAGATACCGACCCAAGGAAGTATTTTGGTACAGAGGTTTAGCAGAGGTTTGTTCTCTCATTGTAGCAGGAACAAGATCCTGGGTTTGAATCCACTGCCTGGCCATGACCTTTCTGTGTGGAGTTCACGGATTCTCTGTGGGTACTACGGCTTCCTCCCATGTAGGTCCAAGGACCTACACATTAAGCACTATGGTGATTTAAAATTGTTTGTAGGTGTAAGTGTGAATCACTCTATTAGACATTTAACAAACAGGTGCATCCAGTGCATTCCCCATCCCTCACCCTATGACAGCTGAGATGTTCCAGCCCAAACCGGATGAAGACATATGAATGGTTGGATATTCATAGGGAATATGAACAGTCCCAAAAAAATAAAAAAAATCATAATGATGTGAGAGTGTTGTTTAAACAGTAGTTCCCCCTTGGGGAGGTCTGGAGTTATAGCAGACTGCAGAGACTATATAAAAATAACAGATGGCTCTGCCCTGCAGGTAAGGTGTGGGCAAGTTTGTAAAAGTGCTGCCAGGTAAGCAAAGAGCAGATAAACCTGCACTAACTACCACAACTACAAAAACAACAACAACAAAGAAATCCCCTTGGCTTCAACACAGTGTGTAATAAAGAGAAATCCTGATTTCTGTCGTGATGCCAAACAAGTTAGGACTTGTTTTTTCTGTAATGTCCCACACTGCAGATGCATTTCTAACCAATTAGTGTTTCAATGAAATTCTGTAGTGGTTTAAGGCTGAAGGATGTGTCTTGAGAGCCTTGTTTGCGTGGGAATGTTTGCAGTGACGGTGCAGTCAATTCTCTTAGAAATGTTTTCCACATACTTCTGGAACCTGACTGCAGGGATTTGTCCCCTTTCAGCTATGAGATGATCAGCGAGGTCAACCACTGATGTTAGGCAATAAGACTTTACAATCAGCCAGTTAACCTGTCCCAGAGGTATGTGACGGGGTTGAAGTCAGGGCTGTGTGAAGGCCATTCAAGTTCTTTTCACTCCAAACTCCAAACATTTCCCAAGAAAACCTCACGTTGTGCATGAGGGCATTGTCAAGTTTAATCAGCAAAGGACTTTCTGCCCAGACAGCTGGAACAAATATGTAAGCACAAGGCTGTCTACAGTATCGCTGAAGATTTCACTTAACAGCATGTCAGAAACTTGTGCAACGTCTGTTCCAGGCCAAACATTCACATAATCATATATTACACACATGTAAATATATATGTTCTATCAAGAGCATGTGGAGGAATGTATGAAGGCATTTTGAAATCTCAAGAGCAGCATCTCAGTGTTTACAAGTACAAAGAACAGAAGACAACAAAAATCAGCTGTGATCACTGTACTGGCATTAAGAGTGGATGTACTCTGCAGTTTGTGTATGATCAGACTGCAATAAGGACACCAGTACCGACATCATCTGCTGCCATCTACTGGTGGAATGCTACATGAAAAATAAAAAAGGCATACAAATCCTTCACATGGTGAAGTTTATCTATCACTAGTGACTTCCATCATTTTCCATTTAGTATTACCGCATCCCATTATTCTCATTATGAGTTTAATTGTATAAATGCCCAGAGCTCTACATGTCTCAGCAGTCTCTAATTCCAGCCCCCTGTCAAGCCTCGCATCTGAGATGAGGATAGCTCTCTACGGTGCGTGCAATCGCATCCTTGAGGCTGACCACCGGTGTGTAGCCCAGTTCTTCTTTGGCATGTTTACAGTTGTAGTAGTGGTGGGTTCCAGCCAGAGCCACTCTCATCGGTGTAAAAGTTGGCTTGAAAGATATTAAAGGACTCAATAGTACGGACAGCAGCCAGAGGAGAAGCGCCAGTCCGTACACCAAACTGTAAGGCAGGTGGTAGCGGGGAGGAGGATATCCAAGACCCACCAATACTTGAGACATGAAGTCCCAAAAGCGAACTGGCTCATCGTTGGTTATGTGATATGGCTGGAAGACAAATGGAGAAAAATGAAAGTAAATTAACTGATCAAAAAGCATGTTAACCACTTGGTGCCACCACTGCTGTGGGTTTTATTTTAACTCACCTTCCCACATATGGGGGAGTCTGCTCTCATCCGTTCAGCAGCCAGAATGTGTCCATGAACTACATTCTCAACAAAGGTGAAATCTACCAGATTGGTTCCATCACTAAAGGAGACAAAAACTAATTATTTAACTGAAAACCATCAAGAAATCCTTTTTGAAAATAAGTACTAGGATCTAATAATTAGTGGTAGTAGCACGCTTTCATGCTGCTTTCACAGGAATTACAATGTTAAGTAGCTGTTGTCAGATGCTGCTAATCACATGAGTGTCAAATGTAAGAACATTCATCCGACAGCTAAAATTCTGGCAAAACTGAGTTACGCAACAGGACAATGATCCCAAACACAGCTGAATGGCTGAAAAAGAACAGAATCAGTATGTTGCAATGAACCAGTCAAAGTCCACACCCCTTCCTGGCTGAAATGCCATAGAAGGCCTTAAACAGAGTTGTGGGTAAACGTCAATGAACTGAAGCAATGTTGTAAAAAGGAGTGGGCCAAAATTCCTCCACTTTTATGTGAGAGATTGATAACGTCATACAGAAAGCGATTCAAGTTTGTTTTGTTTTTCACATGGCTGTGTGGGTTGAGCCACTTTCTCAAGGCTGCTTTCAGCTTCGTGTTTCAGAAACACCAATACTTCACTGATAACTCACCTTGTTTATTAGAAGAGAATGCTAAAATCCTTGATTCAACTCGGTATTGTTTCACCATCAAAACCCACTCAAGACCAAAGAAAGCCTCGCTTTCAAATCCTACAATTCCAGGTTGTCACTTTCTGTCAAATGCTGTGAGTCCAGCCTTCCACACCACAAACAACACATCACAGTGTTTTATGCTGAAAGCAGTACATGCAGATGCAGCAGCTGCTGGCTCCCTCAAATACATAAAATATATTGGGGGGTGTTTTTCTTGTCTTTTTGCTGACACAGGCTTTACTCTGAGCTCTTATGACACACGTGCACTGATGTCGTCAAAGAAGCACAGGAATTGGACTAAAATCAGCAGACCTTCAGATCATCAGCAGTGATTGTTGCTAAACTGATTATCATTTAGTCTTATCAGTTTGTTAGTTGTGTTTTATCATATAAAAGCTGTTTCTATTACGTGAGTGATTATTAAATATTTAAAATGCTATGACTCACCCAATGATGAATTTCATTTTGCCCCTGCGAGCCGTGTCCACCAGGATGGGAACCAGCTGTGGATCTCGAGGACCAAAGATGCCGTGAGGCCGAATTGCAACTGTGAGGAAGCCCTTTTGCTTGTCACAAGCCTTGAGGACCAGCTAAACACAAAAAACA